CTATACCAGGTGTTACAAATTTTAAAGGGCCATTATTTTTTCTTTGAAGAAGGAGTTGTCAAGTTAGGGGTGTGAATGGACAACGCGGTAGTCAAAAATATGCATTTTAACATTGCTACTCTTTGTGTTCAGACGTTTTTTTTTTGCTGCAACATGGCGACTCCGTGCGAAAAGGAAAGGGAGAGACTACAAAATCATTTGTATGAGGTTGAGAGTGAGCAAAACACTTTTTCTGATGAGGAAGCAGAATGTAATTTTGATAGCGAAATTATGAGTGATCATGACTAACAATCAGAATTAGATGAAGATTCCGCTCAAGAAGATGCTTGAAACAACGACAATTTTATTAAAAAAGATAATGTACATTGCGGAAAAAAGAAAAATTCAAGACCCAAAGATTACCGGAAGAGATGCCTGGATGCAAAAACGAAAAAGACGAAAGTGAACCTACTTCAAAGAAGAAAGCTTTGAAATTTAAGCGACGTTTCTACATTTGCCCACGTAATAAGAACAAANACACACACTTAGTATATGTCAAAACTGCATGAATAAAGAATAGATAAGATAAAGAAGACAGTATAGAGAAAGTTACGTATAATAAATATGCTATTTTTGAATTATTCTGAGTATTTTATTGATATCGTGTTTTACTAATTTTTAAAAATCTTAAATTTTATAATAAAAATCATTTTGCTTTCAAATATTGCGGTGAAAAACGCTTAAACTATAATTTAAGCTTGTGGGGTCCGTACAGACCCCACGCGCGTCTTTGTGTTCGAACGGAAGGCGCGCGTCCTGCCGGGTTTAAGAGAGATTGTTGTTCGCGAGGAAATTGTGAAGATAATATATGAAAATCATCCTCGTTCAAGTTGTTTACTAATTTATCAAGGGAAGCGGGCACTGTAATGAATCTAAGAATTGGAGATAACCTATCGAGAAACTTATAAATGGATGGTACTCACGTTGTGCCCAACACAAGAAAGCAAATCTAAAATCATTTTTTCTTCACCTAATAAAGAGTGAATAAAACGTTCAGCTGCATTTTCTCCGTTATACACAACTGGAGGCTTAAGACATTTCCCTGCGCTATCAATTATAACATAAGAATATCCGCAGGGGACATGGCGTGCATTTACTTCGGTGTGAGAGCCTATATTCGTTGAATCATCAACAAGTATGCATTCAAAATCCGCGTATATAACGTAGGGAATTTTATGCATCATATGAGTAGATTTAAATTTTAAAATATTTTCACCTGCGGTAGGCATATCTATTTTTTGCATTTTGTGATTTTTACAATAATTTACATGATCGTCAAGCATTTTTTGAGAAGAAAATCTGTGAAGACAATAATCGCAATAAAAGGCAGTGCCCTTATGTGAGGTTAAATATGTTAATAATCTGCTCATATTTTTAATTAGACAAAAATGACGTGTTTCTCCCTCAGATATCAGTAAAAGATTGGAATGGTTAACACCAGTTCTATTTGTTGAGAGATGCAATGGGAAAATATCTCCCTTTTCATGTCCAAAAACATTGATTGATAGATTATTCAATTTTTCAAATTTGGAAATTTGAGTTAATTTCATTGGAAAAGAAATTCCTGCCACATTTAATTCATTTTCAAATTCTAAATATTTAGTAACGCGGGTAGCTTGTTTTCTATCGGGGCAAGGGTGGAGGTTTGCCAAAACTGACCATAAAAAGCATTTCTCATCATAATTTCGAATATTTAAAACGGCTCTTCTCTTAGCAATTTCAGAGGGGAGAGGGATAAAGGATGAACCATTTAAAGGAACATAATGCGCAGTGTTAATTTCCAAATAATTTACCTCCTCTAACACCCACCCACTTCCCCTATCAATGAATTCATCAAAAGAAGAAATTATTTTTGAATAAGCACAATTCACCTGTTCTTCTAAAGTGTCACTGTTTAAAGAAATTTCATTACAACTCCTGAAGAATGAGGTGGCTAATTCTCGCTCACCTCCCTGCCCAGTTCTCGAGAAGAGTGCTTTTACACAAAGATACCATTTGATTGGCGACAATGCGATGTATTTTCGTAACGTACTGAAAAGTTCGCACTTTAAATCCTCTAAGAATAAAAGTAAGTCATTATTCTTACTGGTGAAGAGGGTGTGGCTCCGGAATCCTCCATCTATCGCCTGTCTTTCGTGGGGATGTTCTGCTGTCAATCTCTGGGTGACGTTAGATGTCTGTAAAAGAGTAATGGAATAAGTTAAACTAATCATGAATCATTTACACTTAAAATAAGTTTAAAAAGTATTTAAAAACGGTAAAAATTAATAATAAGATAATTTATTCTCTCCCTCTCTTACTTTTTCATACATTTCAATGGGTATAAAAATAGTGTTATTTAAGTATAAATTTTAAATTTTACTGTGAAATATTATTCCTTTATGCTCATTTTATTTCCTGAAATATAAGTAATAATCAAAGTCATTTAATCATTTATTTATTTTTTTTTTTCCATTTTATTTTCGAGTACAATCAATTTTCTAATCCTCGTTTAAGAAATAAGTAAATACCCTCTAATAAGATACTTTATATTAAATATAATTAAATATTTTTATAAAAAGAAGGAAAAGCATAGCGAGTATTTATGAAGTATAGTAAGAATGAACTTACGTACGCTGGGTCCCGGGTCAGTGGTATTATATTCCATTCTGCTCGGATCATCTAAAAAGTTTCTGATTAACTCATCAGCAGCAGGATCGTCCATCGCATCCTCGATGACTTCGGTGGGATCATCCATCTCATCGTCAGTGGATATTTTTCTCACTTTCTTTCTTCCATATCCCCTCATGGGTGAGCATTCACGACTGTTGGATCTCTTCTTCCTTGCTCTTCCACTGCCATCGTCTAAATTTTGTAGTACTTCCTTTCAAAATAAATAAATAAATACAGGGTTAATATAATGATAATATAAACACAGAACTATCACAAACTTGAAAGGAAAAATTAATTATTCCTTGTTTATTTATTTTTATTTTATTTATTTTTATTTTACTTATTGTTTATTCGTTTATTTTTTAATTCATTTCAGTTAAAAAAAAAAAAAAAATTATTATTATTTTTTTTTTTTAGTTATTTCACCTACTTCTAAAATGATGTAAAATAAATATTGAAATAAATGAAACTAAGATATTGAAAATAAATTACAAGAAAGTAGATACTTTTGAATAAAATAACTGCAACCAAGAAATGTATCAAAATACAGAAGAAAAATTTGCAGAGGAAGTTTAGAAAAGAGAAACTTTTACATTTAATTTCACATTTTTTACTTCATTCAAAGTCGGAACCTAAATGCTCACACCCACTTTAAAATTAAATATAAATGAATTGAAATAATATAAAATGGATTATAGATATAAAAAATATTTAAAAAAAAAATGACAGCCTTTAAATAGAAATGATTATGTTCTAACCAATAAAGTAGTACATGAAAAGTTTGGAAAACAATGTTTACTTACTTCGGGAACTGCTCGAATCGCTTCATCAGCTTCTTCGTCTATCATAGAAATATCCATGGTCCAGATGTGGACGGGAGAATAGTCCGGTAAGAACTGATACTTTTCTTCGATAAAGCAAACCTCTTATATAGAGAAAATAATCATCGAAGTTCGCATTCAAAACAAAAGACGAGATATAGAAAAAGGGGGGTCGGCTCCACTTGCAGCAGACACTTGTAAACACTATTTTCAGATAAATTGAAAACTATTCCCCTCGTAAAAAATATCAACTCATCATCGATATTCCAAAGCTAGTAATTTCTCTTTCTTTGTGTTGACTCCGAAAGAGATGTTTTAAGTCTCATTGTCGTTAGATAAAATATAAAAACCCACTATACTTTTAAAATGTTTGAGATATTCTCACTGATACATTAAAAGTTTTTTTTCCTTATTTTTCTTTTTTTTTTATCACAAAATACCTCTAGGATTTACTTTCAGTGGGGAGATTCTTTTCAATCTCACGAAAAAATGTTAAAATGTCCATTCTTTCCTTTAACGATAATTTCTTATCCTCCCTTTTTACACTCAACGTTACTTACCATCTTCTGATATGTTTCGTCGTCCCTCATTTTCTACTCTTTCTGTCTCGTTCATTATCTGAAACGCGGACATAATGCTTATTTTTCTTTGACCATTATACTTTAAATCGAAGGTATCGTTGCAAATGGAAAAAGAGACGTTATCCGATATCGCAATTCCATCACTTCGACATAAGTCTACTACATTGTGTGAGTTTAAAAGATTTACAGTGAAAAGTATTACGTTTATCAAAATGAAGCAACATAAAGAGATGACTCTACTATCGAAATTCATGATTGATTCTGTGTAAGTGATGTGAGAACGCACAGTAGTTAAAGGAATTATCTATCTTATGACGTGTTTGCAATTATTATTCGTCACATGATTAAAATTTCGGTAATTGAGCGAAATGACGTCATAACAACCTGTTTTTCCCCTACGTGGGGAGGGGGTCACCACCGCGCCCGCCCGCGAGAGTAGACGCGCCCGCCCGCGTGAGCCGCCGCGCCCGCCCGCGTGAGCCGCCGCGCACACCCGCGAGAGCCGCCGCGCACGCCCGCGAGAGCCGCCGCGCCGCGAACGCTGATTAAATTATCACATATTCATGAAATTAAAATAATAGGAAATAAAAACACAACTGTATGCACACTCTTTTATTAGTATTACTTTATTTTTATACGTACATAATATTACAATCATATTTTCAACCATTGGTATGGTTTGTTTCTAGTTTTTTTCATTTTGGATACAGGCGAATTAACTTTTCGTAAGTTAAAGGATTCATTTTTTATAAATGTTTGAGGTAAATTCACATCGTTGAGAATTTCGCGAAATTCTTCTTGGCCTGTAATAAAAGTATCACTCTTTTTTCTCCTCATCATGCTGTTGATTAAATCTACGATGTTAGAATTTTCAATAATTTTTCCTTTGTGTAAGAGCTCTCCTCGTGGAGTCCAAGATACGATTTCATTGTTTTTCTTTAAAAATTCGAGAATGTTTTTTGTAGCCTGTGTAAACTGCTTCGGGACGGATGACAACATTAAACTTTCAATGTAATTTTCAGGTTCTAATTTCCTTTCCGTTTCTGTTTCCAACGGGTCTTCGGGGGGAGTCTCTTGATTCTCAAGAGGTGAATTTACTAAATCTATTTTTATTCTCTTTAACAATACTTGATTATACATTTTAATTTTCGCATCATCGTCCATTTGAGATAGTAATATTTCCTTCATTTCACGATCTAATTCGCTCAGTTTTTCATCTGAGGGAACGTGGCGAGAAACAATGTGCTCGGGGACTAAAATCATTTTTTTTGCATATTCCATATTTATTTATTAAACAGAGACGTTAAAACTCCGAGTGCCGCAGGTAAGAGTGTATATAGAAATCCTCCTTTCTGAAGTATGAGGTTTCGCTTTGTTTTCAAAGATATTTTTTTGTCGGAGAGTTTTCTCAATGTATGCTTATGACGAGATAACTTTCTTTTCTGGTGTGAAGAGATGGGTATGTTCCCTTTTATTGTGTTTAAACAACATTCGGAAATGCATTTTATAGTTGTTTTCGGTAGTTTTTTCAACAGTGATTTTAATGACTTTTTGGGGCAAATTAATATCAGTCGAAGTCTTTGCACATCCTCCTTCGAAGCACCCATGATATCAAATGATGAAGCGTTATCGGGAGAAGTTTCCTTTATTTCAGCTGATATACACACGTTTCTTCACCTGGTAATATTTTAGCTCTCAAGCGTAAATTTTCCTCTGTTTCGGGTCTTAAATCCACCATTAAGTAGCTGTAAGGTTTTTTAGTAGCATCTTCGAATACCTCGAGAAAAAATTTCACATTTCTGGGATATAATTGCCTTCCTAGATGAGATATCTGGGTCACGTCTCGCCTCGATTTAAATAGAAATAAGTAATGAGAGTTTAAAGATATTTCTCTAAATTCTTTTCCTTTGTGAAAAATATTCTGACTCACTGTGATAACAGATATATTCATGTGATGAGATCCCCGAGTATACAAGTGAGTGATTCGTTTATTGTCTCCGCACTCAGACATTAAATCATCTAAAATAAATAAAGAATTTTTACCCGCGTAACTATTAAAATTTTCGGGTAACCCTTCCACGAAAGTGACATTTGGAATTTCATCATACAAATCTTGGTATATCCCATAAAACCAAATAATTCTATCAATTTTTGGATAGATTAATTCTGTGTGAAATTTTAAAAAATTCTTCAAAAAATGGGTCTTTCCACAGGAGGTAGGACCACAAATTAAGGAAGTAAAAGGTGATCTTAATGGTTGCATGATTATAAATGAAAGGAATAAACACACATCACACTTATTTATATACGACTCACTTTATTGCTAAATTAAAAATGGTACATGTTCACAAGA